CCTTGATATTAAATGCTTATGAAAAATAATAAGTCTCCATATTTCCCTAGGTGAAGTCAAGGCTAGCAAGGTTATTTTTCCTGAGGAGCTTAAATACACAAGCATTCTTGTGTATGGCACCTACGTGATGCTAGAAACACCAAACTACAGGATGGAACTGTGAGTGCAAGGAATTCCTAATGTGTCTACTCCCTCTTCCAAGACAGATCCCCACCTGCCATGACTTAGTAGATAGGCCCCTAGGGAGTTACCTGAGGATCTAAGTGATTAAGTGACTTGCCCGGGGTCACATGGTTAATAAGAGTCAGAAATGGATGGTGGGTCTTCTTAATAATCCATTACATCATGCTGTCTCTACAGTAACAGAAATGTCTAACTGACAACTAAATGCTTCAGCTAAACCAGCTTTTCAACATTACCTAGAACATCCTAAAAGTGTCAATCTGAATTCAATATGTGTATTTCCTGTTTGGTCTTCAATGACACTCTCTTCAGTCTGTGTATGTCAAGATAACCACCAATGTCTCACGGATGGAACCTTGACTTAGAGAACCTTGAAAACCTCTGTTGATACCACTGGTAGGCCTCCTGTACCATTTCTCACCACTCAAAGTCCCACAGCATTTTTTCAGTCAGGACTGACTCCTCACAACATTTAAGAGGCAGCATGATAGACTTAAAAAAGCTTTAGACTCAGGGTCATAAGGACCTGGGTTTGAATCCTACCTCTGACATTTGTTAGTTATATGAACATGAGCAAATCACTTACCCTCTATCAGCTCCAGGAAAATGGGGATAAAAAATACTTTCCTCATCTGTAAAATGGGGACAATAATATCACTACTACTCACTCACCTCAAAGAGTTGTAAGGACAATGTGGGTGATAAATCAGATAAAATCTATGAAATTCTTTGCAGACCTTAAAGCCTGTAGAAACTTTGGAAATGTGGGAATGTATGAGAGTGTTTTAGAAGCCTTAAACTGATTCCTACCAGTCACTCAGTGGCAGCAACATCTTGCTTAATTCAGTTCATTTTTTGATATGTTGATTGATTTCTTTTAATTAATCAATCCACACATATTTATTGAGGATAAATCTAAAATAGTCATGTTAATCATGGTTTCATTAAATTATCATTATAGTTATTTAGCTAATTTAATTAATCTCTAAGATATAAATAATACTATTTTCATTTCCATAAAAGGATGCATAGATCAATTCCAACATTTCAATGAATCTAATCTGTGTATCTTACATACAACTAGTTATTTTCATGTTTTTCCCCCATTAGAATGTGAGATACTTGAGGACAGGAACTGTTTTTGCCTTTTCTTTTTATTCAGAGCCCTTAGTACCATGCCTGTTACACAGTAAGCATTTAATAAATGTTAATTGCCCATTTACCAAATGACTGATCTGTTATCTCCTCAACACAGGTATTCCCATCAACAGTGCAAATCTCAACCTATTTGCTTCTGCCCAAAATATGCAACTTTTGTCCACATCTTTTCCTGAATCTAACATAAAAGGTCTGCCCATCATGCTAGGGGTCTTCCTCTCTTATTTGTTTATCTTTTTATTGGTGTCATTTGTTTTTATATCACGTCCATTTCCAAACTCATCCCTCCACTCTCTGCACAGTAAGCCTTCCCTTGTAACAAAGATTTAAAAAGAAAGAGGAAAAAAAACAATATTCCACTCCTATAGGCCCCCCTACCCCTGCAATGAAGGAAGGGAGATGGTCACTTCTCTTGTTTAATTTGAGAAAAGGTCTTGGAGACTTCCTTTCTGAACTATTAAGATTTATTATAATTAGTCTTTATATAGAACTTTAAGGTTTACAAAGTGATTAATATATGTTGATTGATTTTATATTCCCAACAACCCTGGGAGGTAAGTGCCATTATTTTCCCTACTTTACAGATAGGGAAACTGAAGAGGTTTCAGGTTCAGTGCCCAGAGTCACACAGCTAAGCATTTGGGTAAGGTCAGCTTTGAACTCAGGTCTTCCTGACTCCAGGTCCGGTGCCCTACCTACTGATCCACCTAGCTGCTTCAGTTGGACAGTCATTGGTTAGAAGACAGTCCATAAACATCAGTCTGACCAGTAAGAATTGTCAAGCAGTGCTGTGGTGCCTATTTCCATTGACCCTTAAAGGTTCCACACAAGCTTTGTGGACTAGCCACCTGGGTACCTCTCTTCACTAGATAAACACAAATGGAATTTGTTTAAGCCTGAACAGACTTTGGTAATGCCTCAGCAGTCATACTGATTAGTAATAATGTTTACAATATATCAAGGACATAATAAAAATGCCATTTTTTCTATTTAAAGCTTGTCCACAGAGAGTTTAACTTAATGTGTTATGGGAATAATTACACATCTTAATCCAAGGGCTGGTACTTTTTTTTTCTTCTTGTAAATAAATCTTCTATTATGGGCAAAGGGCCATGACCTTTGAGTTGAATGCAAAACAAAACATGACTACCAAATGGAAACTAATACACAGACAAAGGGCAAATAACTAGATTCTTTGCCAGAAAAATCAAAATACACCTGTTGCATGTAGGGAAGAGAAACTGAATGACAGAATAATGTTTATTTCACATGAAATTTCATCCCCTATCCTAGAGAGTTGTATCTGAGCAAGAAAGAAGCAAAAACATGCTTATTTATTGATTTCCAGAATTACAGATCTTCACACTGGGAAAGTCTAGTCAGAAACCTTCTAGTCCAGCCTGTACTTGAAAAAGATTAAGATTTTTAGCCACCATATCACCCTGTTAACTCATTGTAAACTTGAGTTTTATCAAAACCCCCACATCTTTTTTTCGGAAGAACTTCTCTCTTGCCATATTTCCACCATCATGTAGCTGTGAGGTTGATTTTTTTAAGCCCAAGTATAAAACTTTACATTTATCTTTATTGAATTTCATTGTATGTTATAGCCTGTCAAGATTATTTATTTAATATTTCATTCCAGCATAAATCTACATAAAATAATTGAAAGAATGAATCTGTGGAAACTTTTTTTAAGTCTAAACTAGTGACGAGTCATCAGATTGTTCCAGTGTGAGCCTAACCATTGGAAGAATAAACCAGTTTCCCAGATAATATTTGGATTATCATGACCATCTGGAGGGAGACAGCAATTGGTCATTCCCAAATTGAGCTCTTGCAATGGTGAACTGAACTCAGAATTTTCCATATCCCAAGAGAGTTCCCTAAATCACCTTATATCCCTTGGACCAATTTCATCTTAAAAGTCTTCTTCTTCACTACTATAAACAACTTGACCACTTCAGAGCTGGAAATAGAGGGAGGGTTAGCCTTCAGTATGTACCCATTAATTTTGGAACCATCTCCCTTCACAGAATACATGTGTCACTGCATTACAAAGAGGCCTTAAGGCTGTGTCTATGAAAGAGAGAGAGAGAGAGAGAGAGAGAGGGATGGAACACTGAGGCACCTACCTTGATAATTCATCTCTGCCCTTTCACCCACTTCCCCCCAAAAGCAACTTTTCCTCAGTTATTTGGTTGTATAAAATGTTTGTCTGTGGGTCTGACTTATCTAGAGGCAGCATTGCACAATGGAAAGAATACTAGGCTGAAAGGGAGAACTGGGTTCAGATCTCACTTCTAACACTTATCAGCTGAACAATCCTTGCCTAGTCATTTGAGTCTGAGTTTTATCATTTGAAAAATGAAGCTAATAATGCCTGCAGTATTTCTCTCTAAGGCAGCTAGGTGGTGCAGTGGATAGAGTGCTGGGTCTAGGGTCAGGAAGACCTGAATTCAAATCCAGCCTCAGACACTTATTAACTGTGTGACTCTGGGCAAATCACTTGCCTCTGTTTGCCTAAGTTTCCTCATCTGTAAAATAAGCTAGAAAAGGAAATGGCAAATCACCCCAGTATCTTTGCCAAAAAAACCCCCAAAGGGGGTCACAAAGAGTCAGACCCAACTGAAAACTGATTAAACAACAAAAAGTATCTCCTAAAGTAGTTGTGAGGATTAAATTATGAAATAATGGATGTAACATGCTTTGTAAACCTGGAAGCCTACCTAAAAGTTATTATTAGATTATTGGTTCTGTGCTAGATGTTATTTGTGCATGTAGACTCAGACTTGGAGGTTGATTGTGATGGGCACCTTATCCTCTAAGCTTGAGAGGATAAAAGGAATAGCATTATCTGACATAACAGGTCAGTCAGGTTTGTAAAAAGATTATTGACCTTGTAAGACATGAGTTAGAACACTGACTCTGACACTTGCTACCTGTGACCTTGAAGAAGAAAGTCACTGAACGTCCTTGAAAATCAGTTTCCTCATCTGTCAAATGGGAAGAAAAATATTTGCATTAGTTACCATATAGTGCTGGTATGAGGAGTGGCATCACCCTCTTTTAAGTGCTCTACAAATGTGAATGAGGAAGGACAGTAGCCAGGATGGACTTTAAAACTTCATTTACTAAAACAAGATGTAGCAGACTTCACTGACGCCAGTGACAGCCTTGATTCCAACATCGTGTTTACAAGCCATTAATAAGTAAAGAGTTGGTGGGGCCATTTTGCATAGAGAACTATAAAAAGAAAATTAAAAGGCCAGATCAATTGAGCTTTAAAAAAAATCATTCATTTTGAATGATTACCAGTAACCAGAAGAAATCCTTCTGAGTCCACTCCCCTTCCTATGCCTGGTTAAGTCCTGCGGAAGGTAAAACAGCTGATTAAGTGGGAAGAGAATTTTGCTGCCATCAGTAAAACTCTTTTGAGGATTAAAACTCAATCCTTGAGGCCTGTCCCCAGCAGCTTTACTTTAGACTATTTACATGCTTGGAAGGCATTAGGGACTCACAATGCAACTCTCTGAAATTTACATTTTGATTTTAGAGACCAGAGTTGAAAATACATGTAATTCAACTAAGCACAAGATGGTAGTTAAAGGCATTGAAAGAGATTCTGTAGGTTCTTTGTAATGTATAAAATGGGATGCGAAAATGTTATGTGATCCTTGAGTAGGCTCATCAGTAGGGAGTTCCTCTGAGACAGTTTGTATGTTGGCCACTTCTTCCGTTTCCTAGCTCCCAACTTGCTATTATATTCATATACATTCCCGGTGACTGTCGGAGAAAAAGCATACAACAGAAAAAAAAAAAAACAGGTAGTGAGTTGTTCATATCTTCCAAATTGAGCTCTGAATAAAAATGGCAGACATTGAGAATAGACATTAAAGGACTTCACAGAAATGTTCAAGATGGCCTCTAAGGTAAGAAGCCTCCTAGGAGGAGGCCTGGGAGGTTTGCTCACCCCATCCACCCTGGAAAATAAAGACAGGGTCAAAACAATGAGATACAAGATTATCTTGTGACATACAGCTAAATAAACATAGTCACTAGTCTTGAAAAAGGCCCTAAATTCCATCCCAAAAGACAACTCACCCATTTTTTGAGCCAGAAGGGATCTTGGTAACCACCTAGTCCCATTAGAACATGCCCAGCAAGCGATTATCCAGTCATTACCTGGAGAACTTTTAAGAGGGACAATCTACCACCTCTTGAAGTCATACATCTCATTTTAGGACAGCACTAATTGTTAGAAAGCTTTCCCTGAAATTACATTCTTTATTTCTGGGGTGAGGAGAGACTTCCTTCTGTGAGTATAAATGTGAAACTTTAATTCACTGATTCAGCCTTTACTGATATAGCATCATGGGAAATATAAGAGTTGAGAGAGACATCAGAAGCCATCTCGTCCAACTCTTTCATTTTACAGATGAGGAAACTGAGGTCCAAGGAAGTAAAGTGACTTATTCAAGAACATACAGGTAGCAAACATCTGAAGCAGGATTTGAACACACATCTTCTGACTCCAGAGCCAGTCTCACAACAACCAAATGTGGCACATAAGGCAGGTTATGTTACCCCCATTTTCAGATGAGAAGACAGAGTAGTAAAGTGAGTTGCCCAAGCTCATATAGACAGTAAATGTCAGAGGGTAAATTTAAATCCAAATTTAAAAACTCCAGGGCCACTTTTTTCCATCATACCATACTCCTGTAGGAGCAGGACCTTCATGGTACAGTCCACATTCATAAGAATATATTTTGCAGAGTTGTAAAGATGGTACAATTTTCTAGAAATAGCACTGGACTTGGTATCAGAGATCCCAGGTTCAAATCTGTGCTACTTACTATGTGATCTTGAGTAGGATTCTTGAGGGCAAGGCAAGCACTATTTCATTGCCATCTTTTTCTTCCAAGCATTTATCACACAGCTTAATAAATGATTGTTGATCAATTGATCTGCAAAATTTAAGTCCTAGACTAGATATCTCTCACTACCCACCCCATGGCTATCTCTAAAGGTGAATACAGCTTTGAGCTTAAGTCTATCCAAGCTGAAAGGGCCCTGAAATAACTTAATCTACCCATCCACCAGTTGTGGAGCTGCTAAGAGTGGAAGGCATGGTGACAAAAATACCACCTCCCCACCAGCACACAGATCTGTCCTCTAAGTCAATATTACCTGTTGGGAACTGTGAGTGGGCTATTTGAAACTCAGTTTCAAAGTAAGCCAAACTCATCCCATACTTATTCTAAAAACTCAGATCACGACATTCTTCAAACATGGACTTGACCAAGAGGCTTTATTTCCTCTTAAGCAATCACAACTTGTGGCTCTGTCAGAGTTGATGTCTATGTAGGATGAATGTTTCCAATTGTATTGTACCATTTGCACTACAATGTATTTATTAGATCAGGTGGAAGCTAAATGTTCATGAAAGAACCCAACACTCATATGGTGCAGTAGAAAGAACACTGAGTAGGGAGTCAGAAGACCTAGGTTCAAGTCTCAGTTTTACCTGTGTGACTTTGAGTAAATCACTTAATTTCTTTAGGTCTCCATTTCTTCATTTGTAAAATGAGGGGATTGGGCTAGATGACCTGTAAGGTCTCTCAGGGCTCTAAAATACACAATCTAGTGGGTGCCATTATAGTTGCTTTATTATGCCATTTACATGGATGTCCTAGGGAGGTAGGTGGTGTAATGGATAGAACACTGGATTTGGAGCCATGAAGACCTGAGTTCAAATCCTGCTGCACAAACCAATTAGCTTTGTGACCATGGGCAAGTCACTTTACCACTCTCAGTCTCAGTTTCTTCATCTGTAAAATAGAGATAATAAAAGCACCTCCCTCCCCAGGTTATTATGAGGATCAAATAATATATATAAAGCATTTTTCAAGGAATAAAGTTCTATACAAATTAGTAGTAGTAGTAGTAGTAGTAGTATTACATGCTGACAAAAACCTAATTTTAGTTAATAAACAGAAATCAACCTATCAACATTTATAATCACCTCTAAGTAACAGAGAATGTGCTCAGCACTAAGGATACAGAAACAAAAATTGAAATAGTCTTGTCCTCAAGGAGCTTTCATTCTAACAGGTAAGACAGCTTGCACATATAGAATTACATACAAAATATATACCAAATGAATACAAGGATGTTTGGGGCAAAAGGGCTTGAGCCACTGTGCAGTACCAAAAAGGCCTCAGAAAGAAGGTAGGTCTTGAGCTGAATCTTGAAGGAAACCAGGAATTCAAAGAGTAAAGAGAGTGAAGGGGGGGATGTGTATATTCCAATATGAGGGACAGCCAACGCAAAGACATAGAGCTGGGAGATAGAGCATTATATGAGGAACAGCAAGTAGACAAGCAATGCTGGACCATATAGTATATGGAAAGGACTCTTGTTTTGGGAGACTAGAGATGTAAGAAGGGGCCAAGTTGGGAAGAGTGTTAAATATCAAACAAAGTTATTTGTATGTGATCTTAGAGGCAACAGAGAGCCCCCAAGGTTCATTAAGAAAGGATTAATGTGGTCACACTTCCACTTAGGGGACAGGAGAGCAAATCACTTTGGTCTACAGAGGATGGATTAGCAAGGGGAAAGACTTGAAGCAAGAACAAATAAAAGACTATTTCAATAATCCGTGTGAGAAGTGTTGAGGGCCTGAACTAGGGCAGGGCTGATGTGAGAAGAGAAAAAGAAAGAGATGCAGCGAAAGGAGAAACAGTAAGATTTGACCACTGATTGGCTGTGTGAAGTGTGGGAGGGTGAGGAGTTGAGGAATTGAGGATCCCACTAAGGTTGCAAACCTGGGAGATTGGAAAGATGATGGATGTCTCAACAATTACAGGGGAATTCAGAAGGGGGGATTTTTGTGGGGGGAAGGGACACCGAGTTCTGTCTGGGCCATGGTGAATTTGAAGGTGCAAAGGAAGAATAGTGAAAAAGATTGGGAAGGAAAATAGGGAGGAGAGCTATAGAAAGAGCTCTCAATTGAGCACCAAGATGTGGATAGATTTGGGTAAGAAACAAGGGACTAAAGCAAGTTTGCATCCTTATATGATTTCACCTGGTGTCCTCTGCCTTCAATGTCACCTGCCTTTCTGATCCACCCATGCTAGGATTCTATCCTTATTCCAAAATCTTCCCCATCCTCCCCCATCTTCCTGTCTGAGTGATAAGAAGATGAAGCCAGGTCTAGAAGCCACAGGGTATTGGGAATTAAGACTTGGAAATTTTAATTCCTATTCAATTACTTAATATTAGTTTCCATTTACTAATTCATCGGAACCTTCAAACCTGGTAGAAGCAGCTAATGTTCCTTCATCCAGCCATCATTGGGATTTTGGTGAATGTTATACATGAATTTCCAGTGGCAAAGTAACTTCTCTTCCTATTCATAGATTCAGTCACTAAATGTTAAAAAACTTGAGAGATCTTCTCTTCCAGGAATTCTTAGTCTTTTTACATCATGGACCTCCCTCTGGCAGTCTGGAGAAGCCTATGAAACCCTTTCTCAATGCAATGTTTTTAAATTCACAAATAAAATGCATAGGATTACCAAGGAAATCAGTTACAGTGAAACAGTCACCAAAACATGTACAGAAAAAAAAAAAAGAGTCCCTAGACAATAGATTAAGAACCTTTGATTCTAGTCCAAATTCCCTGAGGAAACTAAGTTGAGAAAATGAAGATGGCTCTATGGTACGGCAGAAAGCACACTGAATTTGGAGACAGAAGCCCTGGGTTTGTTACGTATTGCTAGTGTGACCTTGAGTGAGTCACTTGACCTCCCTGGGCCTCGGTTTCTACATCTGTAAAATGAGGGGGTTGGGTTAGATGGCCCCTGAGATTCCATCCAGCTCTAGAGCTATGTTTTTATGAGATGCCGCTTAACCCCTCTGGGCCTCAGTTTTAACATGTATAAAATGCGGTGCACTGGTACGTACTATCTAGCAATCTCAATTTTTCAAGTGAGAAGGTGGGCATTATTAAATATATTTTTTCATTTGGTGGATCAATATGTCTCTAGTACCCAAATATTATTTTGGTTCTAAACAATTTACTATATAATCAAAAATTTTGTGTTATATTAGAAAGACTACTGGAGAAGGGGTCAGGAAACTTGGACCTGTGGTAGCATCCTGGGATGCCCAAACCACTTCATCTCTGTGTGGCTCAAAGCTATCCATCCAATGAAGAAAAGAAAATACTAAGAAAAGCTTCTACTGAGCACTCGAATCAGTTGTGTGGCAGAAGAATAGTCTTCTGCTCTCACCTTGTTAAAGTCTGTTGAGCCTGAGTCTATTGTCATAGTCCCTGAATAGTAAAATATTTTTGAGAAGGTATCATTTTGGTCAGTTACAATCATCTTTTTTTCCAAAGGAATTAATGTTAGGGTTAGAGCTGGATTGTGCATTGGTTAATTTTGCTAAACTGATTTTTTTCTCATTCCTTTTTAACTCTTTATTTAAAAGGATAGCTTGCTCAGTTTGTGACTGAGGATTTATATGTACATACATACATACACACATACACACATATACATATGTATATATGTATATGTATACATATTATAGGTATGTGATGTATGTATGTACTTATATATTGCATATACATACATATTTGGAAATGAAGGTGATATAAAAATAAAAAATACCAATTAAAAAATTTTAAAGGAAAAATGTGAACTATTTAGCAGCATGAAGGCAAAATTTGCTTAGTGTAATTTCTGAGGCTCTTAAATGCACCCTTAAAGGAACAGTGACATTCCATTTACTCTTTGCCTTGCAAAGAATCTTCCCCTTCATCAATTCTCATGTGATCCTTACAATGAAGAGCTTTTATTTTTTCATTGTGCCCGAAGAGTTTCCATTTTTGTGTCTTTTGTCTTATTATTTGGTAGGGAAGTAGATTCTTTTACACATAATACCTCACATTCTTGCACTGAAGATCAAGAAAAATTGTCTTTTAATTTGATATCTGAAGTTTTAAAGTAAGTGGCATGATTATCATCTCCATTTTACACATGAAGAAAATGAGGATTACAAAGGTAAAGTGATTTACCCGTGGCCACATGGGCATTACTTTACAGACCTAGGACTAAGCCAGGTGTCCCCCAAAGTCAGTGCTCTTCCCATCAGGCCTCCCGGTCTCTCTGATAAGGAGCAACGCAGGTAGATGTAGTTTTTCCCTCCACCTACTAGATCTTCTCTGACTCCTCTCCCGGATCCACTAATTCTTGTAAATCTAAACTCAAGGACTCATGGGCAAACCAAGAACCAGATGAAGAGTGAGTATAACTCATTGTGTGTATAAACTTACTGTTCTCAAAAGGAAGCCCAAGCTCTCTACACCCTCAGAGGCTCCCTTTGACAGAGGCCAACAAGGTAATATACAAATGCCCCCTTGAAGGGAAATTATTCATTCAGAAGTTAAATGAAAATTCATGTACTTGTTTTTTGGCTTAGAGAGCTCTTTGGTCAGCTTTTGGCACCTGACTGTAATGCTGGTGTATTTCACAAGAAGGTAGCATGTACAGGCAAGCAACCCAGCCAGGAAAACTGCCATCAGTGTAAAGATGAAAGGGATATACCAGTCATTGGGACTGTATGTGTTTATAGATGTGTATACAATGGTCACACCTTTCTTTTGCTGATAAATGACATAGAAAAGAACACAAAGCATTAGGCAATGTTTTCAGATAACATTTTCTTACATATAATAAGATTGATCTATACATGACAAACTACATATAGTAATCTGTGTAATTTTTATGTACATCTATATTATACAGAATAACAGAATTTCAAAGTTGGAAGGAAATTCAGCAAGTCATTTTATCAAATACGTGCATAAAAAGGAATCCTCACTACAACAAACCTGAAATGTGGTCACCCAGCATCTGTTCGTACATTTCCAAACTGGGGGGGGCCTACTACTGCCACAATCAGCCCATTCTAGCTGTGGCTAATTCTCACTGCAAATTCGGAAAGTTTTGTCACAATAAGACTAAGTTTTCCTCTTTGCAACTTTCATTCATTCTTCCTGGTTCTACTTTCTGGGGCCAAACAGAATAAGTCTAACCCACCTTCCATATCACATTCCTTCAAATATTTGAAGGTGACCATCATATCCCCACTGAGTCTTTTTTTTAATACAAGCTAAACAACCTTGGATCTTTCAACCAATCCTCATATGTCATGGACTCAAAGCCCTTCCCCATCCTAGTTATCATGTGTGACACATGCTGAGGTTAGTATGTCTATAGGGCCTCCAGTTTGAAATGTCCATTAGGCTGTTGAAGATGGGAGACTAGAGGTTAGGAAAGAGTCTAGGGATGGTGAAATAGGTCTGAGAATCATCAGTATGTATATGATTATTGAATCCATGGGAGCAGATGAGCTCACCACGTGAAAAAATATGTCAAGAGAAGAGGTTCCCAGGACAGAGTCTTGGGGGATACCAACAGTTATTGAGCTTGACCTGGATGAAGATCCAGCAAGGAAGACTGAGGAGGAGTGGTCAGATAGGTAGGAGGAGAACCAGGAGACAGCAAGGTCACAATAACATAGAAAGAAATTAGTATCCATAAGTGGATGATTGACAGTGTAAAACACTGCAGAGAGATCAAGAAGGGTGAGGACACAATTTTACAAATAAGAGATAATTGGTAACTCTGGGAAGTACAGTTTCTGTTGAATGATATGGTCAGAAGATAGACTTCTTATTGTTCAGTCTTTTTTCAGTCACGTCTGACTCTTCGTGACCCCATTTGAGATTTTCTTGGCAAAAATACTGGAGTGGTTTGCCATTTCCTTCTCCAGCTCATTTTTACAGATCAAAAACTGAGGCAAACAGGGTTAAATGACTTGCCCAAGGTCAAAAGGAAAAAGGAAAGAAAGTAGAGCCATTGATTATAGACAACCTTCTCAAAGAGTCAAAGCATTTAGCAAAAAGTAGGAAAGGTATGAGATGATAGCTAGTAAGGATGGACAGATCAAGTGAGGGCTTCTTGAGGATGGGGGAGACACATATTTCTAAGCAGAAAGGAGGCAGCCAGTAGACAGGGATTAAAGATACTGAGAAAGAAGGGTTAATAAAGAAGACAATATGCTGGAGAAGATGGAATGGAATGAGATCTCTTGTGCACGGAGAGGGGTTTGCCTTGGCCAAGAGAAGGGCCACCTCTTCATATGATACAGAGAAGAAGAAGATAGTGGTGTGAGGTCTTCATGTAATGTGAGACAAAGAGGAGGAGAGAAGAGAGGCCTTTCACTGTTTAGCCTCAATTTTTTCAGTGAAATTTGAGGCAAAATTCTGAGAGGGTGAGGGTTACAAATATCTGTGTGTTTCAAATAAAGATCGCCAAAATCACAAAAAGTAAAATACGGCAAAAACTATAGAGAACACAGTTAATCTCAATCTTTAATGATTAAGAAGGCACTTCAAGTTCTTGCTGTGCCTTGGGATAATCATTAGGAATGCCAGTTCTTGCTGTTCCAGCAAAGTGTGCTGAATATCATCTGACAATTGACTTATTTATATCCTTGTGTGATAAAAACTAATTACCATTGACTTTTTGCATAAAGTTGATTACACTTGTCTTTACTGGCTCCACTCCCACCCATATACTATGTTCCCTGATCACAAATTGGCATACTTTCTCATTCTATGAGCTACGAAGAGACATAACAATTCTCAAAAGAGGCACTGTGAGTAGATGGGAGAGGATATGATTGAAAACAGAGTTGAGGTAAGAATGTAATTGGTGGGGAGTAGAGGGGAGAGAGTGCATATTCAAAAGGTGAAATCCAGAGCCCATTTGGGGGAGGAATTTGACTTTATAAAATTTTTCATATAAGAATGCCAATGCTTCTCCAGCATTTTCCTTCGGGTGTAATCAGGATGAGGTGATCAATAGGAGCAACAGCCTTGTGTAATGCTGGACTTGGGGTCAAGACCTGGATGTGAACACTCCACCCCACTCTAGACACTTGTTTGGAGACCATGGACAAATCCCTTAAGCTCCCAAAACTCAGTTTCCTCATCTGTAAACTGAGGATCATAATACCTGAGGTATCTGCTTTGCAGGGTTACCATCAATCTTACATGAGATGAAGTCTCCAGGGCATTTTCCTCTGCCTGTCATTTAAAGCCTCTACAACCTGGCTCCTGCCTAACTCTGGCCTTTTATTTTCATATTATTTCCCTTCACAAACTCTCCATTACAGTCACATTAGGCTACTTACTGTTCTTCTCCCTAAATAACATTCTCTCTTCCATCTCTGTACCTTTGCATTAGCTGCCCTCCATTTTTGGAATATACTCTCTCCTCACCTCTATCCTTACTGTTGTCATTCAGTCATATCTGACTCTTCATGACCCCATACGGGGTTTCTTGAGAAAGATACTGGAGTGGTTTGCCATTTCCTTCTCCAGCTCATTTTCCAGATAGGAAACTGAGGCAAATAGGGTTAAGTGACTTGCCCAAGGTCACACAGCCAGCAAGTGTCTGAGGCCAGTCTTCCTGACTCTAGGCCCAGTACTCATATCACTGAGCCATCCAGCTACCTCTGCCTCTACCCCACTTTCCTTTAAACCCAGTTCAGTGCTACCTTTAAACAAGGCCTTTCCTGGTTTCCCCAGTTTTTAGTTCTCTCTCTCATATGGAATTCCAGATTTAGAGCTATAAGTGACCTCAAATCCTGTCCAACCCCTTCATTTTACAGATGAGGAAACTGAGACTCAGAGAGGTTAGGTGATTTGTCCAAGGTTATGCAGCTAGTAAGAGACAAAGAAGAATTTGAACTCAGGTCCTTTGATTCCAAATTCAGTGCTCTTTATGTTTACTTATCTATGCACATTATGTTCCTCAGTAGATTCTTAGCTCTTTGAAGTCAGGAATTGTTGTATTTTTGTCTTTGTTGTCCCACTATTCTGGCATAATGCCCAGGACATAATAAGTACTTATTACATTTTTGTTGAATAGCATTGAATCCAACTTTAAATCATTATGTACATTAATTATTGCTATAAACCACATTTACATAAATATAAGCAGAGAGGTATATATACCTAATAACTTGGAAATAGGGAGGGGAAATGCACCTGTGTATAACCTCTCTATTTCTAACTATAACCTTGGGGGGATTTCTGGTGCTTCACTATATTCATTAAAATATTAAATTAGTTTACTTTCATTAAATTATTTTGGGCAGCTAGGTGGCACAGTTGATAGAGCGCTGGACCTGGAGTCAGGAAGACTCATCTTCCTGAGTTCAAATCTGGCCTCATTGGCTATGTGACCCTGGGCAAGTCACTTAACTCTGTTTGCCTCAGTTTCCTATCTGGAAAATGAGCTGGAGAAGGAAATTGCAAACCGTTCCCATATCTTTGCCAAGAAAACCCCAAATGGGTTCACAAAGAGTCAGACGTGACTGAAAAATGACTGAACAACAAATAAATTATTTTACCTCTCACAGTGCTTTATTTGTAGCTCTTCTACAAATTTATCACATTCTAATATTTTGCCCCATCACCTCTTTCCTACCTGGTTATAGGCTTCTTGAGGGTACGTAATATGTCTTATTCATTCCCTATGTCCCCCACAGAGTATATCCATACATAGTGCATGTTGGAGTCACTTAGCAAATATTTATTGAATGAATGTGAATCCCTCTGAAACAGATCCTTTCAGTCCCAGGAAGTTAAATTCTATAATACTTTACTTCAAAATTGGTGACTGGAGGAGCTGGTGTATTTTGCGGCATCACAGAAATATCTATCGTGACAGTCCCTGTTCGGGGATACACAACTTGGCCATGCTGCAAATTGTCATCAATAATGTGTACCACAAGATGATAGTGTGGGTGAAAATCTGCCCCAGACTTGAAGTTAAAAGGATTTTTCACAATTAGCTTTGGGGTATTTGATGCCCGAGTAGAATCAAATCCAAAATGTTGATTATCATTCCTTAATAAGAAAAAGAAAAAGAAAAATTAAAATGATAATTGTCCAACTACCATACAAATTGATCTTTTAGATTTCAGATTTCCTAGAAATACATGTGACTTCACAGAATCAAAGAATTTCAGTGATGGAAGAACCTCTAGTCCAATCTACAACTGAGCAAGGGTGCCCTCTGAAAACAAACCTCATAAGTGGGCATCCAGGCTTGGTTGGAAGACCTCCAGTAAGGGAGAACTCATTACCTCCTGAACCAACTCATTATATTTTAGAGAAGGCATAATTATTAGAAAGTTTTTCTTTAGGTCAAGCCTATGCTTCCAACTGTCGCTTCTAGATTTGTCTTCTGGGACCAAGTAAATTAAATCTAATGATTCATCAAGTGGCAACCCTTTAAATACCTGAAGAAAAACATCATGCTCCCTTCCCAACCTAAGTCTTATTTTCTTCAAGTTAAAAAAACAGCTCCTTTGAGCAATCCTCATATGAAGTGAACTCAATCTATCTTGGTTACCTTCAATTGGATGCTCTCCAGTTTATCAAAATCCTTCCTAAAATATGGCACACAGGACTGAGCCTTATGGGCATCTGCACTGCCTACTGTACTATACTGTGAGTATTACAAACTTATTACTCCTGAACACTAAGCTCTCTTATTTCAGTCTTACAAGAACCTGATTTAGGATTTAGTTGATTCAAATATTATGCTACTAGGGACCTGGGTTTCCTCTATCTGTGGTTAGTTTCATTGTGTTCTACAATAAGAGACTATATCCCTTAACTTTTGTGGGTCATCTTACAAATGTGTGAACTATATCACAATGGGATAGGGATGATTCTTTGCAAATCTCTCTGAAAAGAAAAAAAAAATCAAGGCATCAGTCATACTGATCCTGAGTGCACAGTATCATTTTATATGCGAAGGACTGGATGACATTTTAAAGTTAGCACCATGGACAGCACATTTAGAACCTTGAAATATAACTCCCCAGCTTTTCTGCAGAGCTTCAGTTTCTAAATAGACAAAGCAATCATGAAATATTACTCCATAATAGAGGGAATTCTGCTAGATATATATTTTAAAAGTGCTAAAGTACTTTGAGAAAATTAAATAATATTGTATTCACCAAATTAGACATTTAGCTAACTAAAATGATATGATTGCTTACAAGAATGTAGTTACATTTGTAGCCAGCTTGATTCACCTTCATTTTAAAAATTCATGCTAAAATCCCTTACCAGAAACTATCTCGAAGCTCATTTCAGTATCGCATGAGTCTTGTCATGGCAGCTCAGCTTGAAGCTGTTGACGTTTGTTCCAGCAGCAACACTGTCAAAAATGACTGCCTTATATTTAGATGGTTTGCAGACAGGCTCATCGTCATTCTCATCCTTTATGTCAATTGTAACCTGTCAGCAATCCAAAAGAAAGAAACCTTATGTCCACATCATATGGCTATTTATGCACAAAACCAGAAATAAACATGTGGGTAGATGCTGATTGTCTGGGATTCTTATTTAAAAAAAAAACTTCAGGATTTTGATGCAGGATAAACACCATGAATTTGATTTCTATCTGTCAACTTCCTTGTCACTTGCTGATCTACCTTGCCCTGGGCATCAAGGAAAAGTTACTTGGGACTCATGAAAATATCCTATAGAGGTTCCAACAGTCTATATTGATAACATTAGCTAATGATAAATAATACTTTAAGGTTTACAAAAGCACTTTTACATACATTATCTCATTTGATCCTTACACAACCCTATGAGGTAAGGGTTATTATTATCCTCATTTTACTGATGAGGAACTGAGGCTGAGAGATATTCAATAATGTTCCCAGAATCACACAATTTGTAGATGTTTGAGGCAGAATGAAAATTCAGGTCTTCCTGACTCAAAGTTTAGCATGCTAACCTCTATGCCACCAAGTTCCCTTATATTGATAGAAAATTATTAGAAAAACAAATGGTGAAAGAAACTCTTTGCCCTCTCCAAAAAAAAGTCATGAACCTTAAGCGCTTTAAATATTTGTGCCTAATAGGAAGCAAATCTTTTGTTTGCTTCCCCTCATTGGATTTGGCTGATTACCTCCAAGGCAAAGTCTAAAATATATGAAGTATGTATTCTGATGGTAGCAGTTATCACCTGAGAATGGGTTATGACCATAATTAGAAGTTACTCTCATATTTCTTAATTAAAATATCATAAAACTAAGGTAATTTACCTGGAAAAGATCAAAATATCAAAGATTATAAAATGTTAGTGATCAAACACCAGCCAGCCTAGAAAGGTTATCTGCCTACTTCTTGGATAAATAATGATTTTCTCTACAACATTCACAAAGGAAAACTTGTTTTGATTATATCAGCAAGCATACTCTATGAATGTGTTAATTTTCTGTAATTTTAATAGCTTAGATAAATTGCTAGGGGAATTATCAAAAAAGCTCTTTCTGTAAAGTACCTTAGTTTCTTGCTTGATGTTTTTAGATCAATTCAACAAGCAAATTTTTTTTTTTGCTTGGGCAGTTGGGGTTAAGTGACTTGCCCAGGGTCACACAGCTAGTAAGTGTCAAGTGTCTGGTCTGAGGCTGGATTTGAACTCAGGTCCTCCTGACTTCAGGGCCAGTGCTCAGCCCACTGAGCCACCTAGCTGCCCCTCAACAAGCAAATATTAAGCACCTACTACAAGATACAAATACAAGAAGGGTCCCTGCCCTCAAGAAGATTATTTTCTATTAAGGGCACATGTTCACGGGCAAGTTAATACGGGATATATACAAGCTACTACAGTGATTAGAGGAGGAAAGACTAAGAAGGTGATCATCAGGGAAGGCTTCTTAAAGGAGGAATCATTTGAACTGAGCTGTGAAGTGAAGTAGACCTTCCAAGAGGTAAAGGTGAGGAGGTAGAGTGTTCCAGGCATGAGAGACAGTTTTTGCAAAAGAATGGACGTGGGAGAGGTAATGTCACATGCAAAGAACAAAAAGTGGGCCAGTTTGGTTTGAACATAGAGTGGGTGAGGCAAAGCAATTGATCACTAGCATGGAAGAAGAGGGAGGGGGAGAGGGAGAGGGGGAGAGAGAGAGAGAGAGAGAGAGAGAGAGAGAGAGAGAGAGAGA